ACATTTTGGTTAACTTCCTGACTGTTCTCTATAAGTTTTGGCCCATAAATTATATAGGAGCGCGGAGTTCACTTGTTTTTCATCCACGAACCTGAGCAACGAACTCTTAAATAATGAGGCTAAATAGAATAATACTAACAAGTGATGATATAAATATAATAATTATTAAAGAGAATTTTTTTATAAGTTAAACTGTCAATATATATATGTAGACATATATAGATGTATATATATAACATAGTCCACAGAAATTTAAACGAAACAATAGAAAACATTTCGTGCAATAGGATTTATTGCAACACAATCACCCTGATTGTTCCACTATTAAATAATTCAATCGTAATCAGACCTCCCTTTGACTGCTCAAATTGGTCTGCCCGGAGCTGTGAATTTCGGTTATGGCCTTTACTTAACTGTATAGTATAGAAATTGTTTCTTATTTTTAAAGAAATTTTCAAAACAGCACGCATTAGTCAATTTGACAAGTAACTTTATACCTTCATCTACAGATAATTCAAATGATTCTACTTGTTAATTTATAGTCGGTTGATTGTTTTCAGTAACTTTAGTAGATTAAAAAAAAACACTTAAGAAAAGTGCTGAAAAACAGATATATGTGAGGCTATGAAGGGGAATGCACCACATGCGTTACAATTACCATTTCTAACATAGATCTCAGAAAAGTTAGAAAAAATGCTAATTGCATGTTATTTAAGTATTTTTAGCTTTCCCGATGTTACTGTACGTGAGAATTAAGTTAGCCAGCAACATAATACACTCTCACGCACACACAATATTTAAGGCCTGACTCGATTTGTAATCAAAAGAAAAAAATCTATTACTGATCAAAAGATCTTCCAAAAAGAGTAGGCTTTAGAAAAATAATTCAAATATATTTCTTTTGTTTTAAACACGTACAACGGAAGAGCTGTATTCTAGTCACACAGGGGCTCCCAAGTTTGTGAACTAGCAGAACAATTTTATCACAACTATGTTTTGTTTTAGAGTTTATTATTATACTTAAATAAATCGTGGTCAAAGTTTATCGTAAGCTGACCCGGTAAAGTAATAAATTGCTATTTAATACTGTCAAATATAAAGCGACAATACTCGGACTATAACCTCTCGGGAAATCCGATTTAAAATAAAAGTTGAGAGCAAATATTACCCAGTTAAATGTTAATCGTTTAACCATACTGTGTGCACGGTAAATAAATCACTGACAATTCGGGTTTATTTAAAAATGGGTATAAAACATTTTTATATATCTAACGACACATTGTGATAACGTTAACGCTGGCGTTCAAACGGAGTAAACGATAATTTAAGCCTTAGAATTTGAATAATTTCTAGAAAGTTGTTTCGCTGCCCTTAGTCAGTAAGTAATGAGGCGAATTTCGTATATTTAATTAAAATTTGCTTTGCAAATCTTGATACTTTATATTGTAATTTTATTGTTTTTTTTAACAATTATTGTTTATTGTGTATGCAGTGTTATTAAGTATTTAATTATTTTATTCTTTTCACTTGTGTTCATTCGATATGTTTTGTGGCGGCGACCATGCGTCGGGTCGTCGTGTCTCTATCCCTAAAATATGGCGAGGGGACCGATGGCTGGCCATGCGTCATACTCGTGAACGGTTGCTACTTGTCGGACTTGAATTCATGTATGAGGTGTTGTTAGTTATTTCGACTGTGTATTTGCGTGTTGTTCCCACGAGAATGTAAGTGACTGCTCCTATTTCACCATGCCTCCTGCTGATAGAGGACAAATCTTCGTTTTTTATTTATTTATTAATTAACTATTAATTACTTAAGAGGTCATATGGAACATGGTGTAATGGTTGCAGCTCCTTACAAACATTGTGTAAAACAATTAAAAAGGCGATTAAAAAGAGTGGCGGAGAGTTTATTGCCAGTTCTTCTCTTCCGTTCTACGCCCCTGATTTGAGAACTGGCGGTAAATGTAAAATTATAAGCATTTAATATGTATTTCTTTTTTGACGTTCAGAAGTGTACATTGTGTTACCTATATGAATAAATGATTTTGATTTGATTTGATTTATATCTAATTATATTAAAATATTTAATTATGTATGACCCTTTTTCAAGATAGAACGGATGAAGAAGTCCTACATTGAAGGACTTTTAGATATTTAAGTGCTAATTAAGACCCAAAAATGGATGGAATGTTTCCGGTATAGCTACTAATAAAAGATCAAAGATGTAATCTGAAGCCAATGTTGTATAGGGTTATTTGTCTATTTACATATAATGCTCGTGTCAAATGTCTGTTTCCGAGGAAGACGATATCTTTGCCTGTGGTTATATTTCACTACTAATGTCTGTTATTTACTCTTTATTCCGTATCTTCAATAATTACTATTTTTAATTGATTAATTAATGAGGATGTTGGCGTTGCGCCTACCCGCAATCAACTGGCTTGATTGATTTACGGCTTTTTAATTTAGAATCAATTTTACATATTTTCTGATGACGTTCATAAGTATACGTGTTTACCTTTATGAATAATGTTATTTAGTGTTTGAGTTCGAGATTGAACCGTTTTGGTCCTTCGAGCCGGATAATAATATTCTCACCCTTCTACCAACCCACATTTTTTAATAATGATATACTGTAATAATATTTATTTGGCAAATCAACGTTTGGTAGGCCAGCTTTTATACTATATAGATAAGATAATTTAAGCAAATCTTTACCATAAAAGGGAAGTTAACAAGATGGGTTTAAATGGGATTCGGTTTTCGGATTAATTACTTTATCTACATCAAAGGGACATTCACTAGTAAATTGTGGAAGTCTTTAGGGATAACTCAACGTTGGTCTGTATGATACATTAGAAGTAAAGAAAGATATAAATGTAATTAAATTGGGTTTGTTTAATAATAACCTAACTTGACAAAATAAATGCTGCCATATAGTGTTTTTGAAGCTTTAATGTGTGTGATAAACAGAAATAACACATTTTTCTGTTGTAAATGAAATGGACGCGTCGTGTCGATATACAACTTTAATTATTAAACGTTTAAATTAAATATTTTTTATGCTATCTAGAAATTTGAAAAGGTAATCCAAGCGTCACTAGTAGGATCATTGTTTCGCCGGGAATCAAACCTAATTCGACTTGGGGCCCTTCAAGATTTTCCCTTTTCTGATTCTTAAGAAGCCGGCGACGCACTTTCGAGGCTGGAAATGTCTGTTATATTTAAAAAATTTTTTGGCAGGTAGCCATGTGACACTATAATGAGTATCGATGTTAGTTAAAATACAGTTGAACTTTTTAAATAAATTATTTTTGCTATATCAAAATAATATGAGTTAATAAATGATGACTTTACTCAACATTCCGCTTTCAACGCAAGCACAGTTAAAATACAAACAGTTTGACATTAAAGAACGGTCCATTTTAGTATTCTAGATTCGGTTTGAGTTTGCGCCAGCGAAGTAAGTTTTAGAATTAAATTCATATCATATTTTTCATTTGTGTATTCAATATTCTACTCATTGGCCAAGGCACGCACAGATTCAGTACGATACAGACAAATATATTCTCAGATATTTTCCTTGATTATTCATGCATTTATTTTCTTAGAATGTGTTTTATTTCATTTTTTCTTTCAAACATCACACGTAAAATTGAGGACAATCAGATACAAATGCAAATATGTTATGATATACACGTCTGAAAATGACATGAGAACTTAAGAAGGCGCAGCACTAACCGCAGCACACAATTCTCCAGGGGACTCTTTATATCGAAGAAGTCGCATGGGTCTACGTTATTACTAGAGAGCCTGTACTGGATCGCACGGCTGCGTTTGTATTAATTGTTTTTGAAAATAAATATATTATAGGTATCATGTTACTCTTGGATACGGTAGCGTTATAATAGTGAAAAAAATTTATAAACCGGATCAGTTTTTAAGTTAATTCGTTAGTAACATACAAATCTTTCCTCTTCATATTACTTGTAATTATATATATATACTTTTATTTATTATATTTCATTGAATATGTATATAGAAGTTACAGTTATTATATAATAATAATCAAGCCTAATTTACTCCTTGCAAACATTCATACACACCTAAAATTGTATTTTAATTAATTGTATAATATTGGTAAAAAAATTTTTTTTGCTACAGCCAACTGTTTAAATAAGTCTGTGCCGCTTAAAAGCCCTTAGGCACGCGTTTCAATTACCCTTCATCACATGAACGCTGGCGAACTCCGCAAAGTTTTGTGATAACACTTTTAGTACTTAACACTACATAATTTATACGAACCTACAATCTTGGTTTCATCCACACTTCGACATTGAACCATCATTTATTATAATATTTTAAAAACCTTATAAAAAATAAGGATCTTAACGAGCGTAAATTTAATTATAAAATAAAAGTAAAAGCGTTTAATTGCTTAACCTTATTAACAAATTTTTCGTAATTAATTAATGTAATTATAATTAATCTTTTATATTTACTTTTGGTGGAGGCCTTTATATTGGGTAAAAGCCTATAAAGCTGCCTATCTGTATGGGTCGTGTGCTATTTGGCTCCAGTTTTTTTCAGCTATTCTTTGGATTTTGTAATTTTTTTTACTTTACTTTTATAGGATAGAGGGCAAACGAGCCTATGGGACGCCCAAACCAAAAAGAGCAGTAATCGCAGCCATGGATACCCATTTAAGTGGGTGCGCCGCCGGCCTTTGAGGGAGGAGTATACTCTTTTTTTAAACAATTGAAGATTGTATCTCCCAGGGAAGACTGCCACCGGGAGTCGATTCCACAGTTCGCTAGTTCGCAAAAGAAAATCTCTTGTGAAGCGGACCGTGGAAGGCTTCCAAACATCAAGGTGATGCGGATGAAATTTTGAATTAATACGGCTCGTACGGTGTTGAAACGAGGGAGGAGGGATCAACCCAAACAACTCTTCAGATTCAGAACCTCTTAAGAAATTCTATGAAATATAAGACAAATTTTATATGCTCAGCGGTTTTACAGGCGATATTTCGTATAGGTTATCACCCCAGCCTCCATGGATAAGTCCAGCAGAAAATTCAATTTGATCAACTGACTCCCAAGACGAGTGGTGGAAACGAACTCTTACGTTCGTCATGGTACTCTACGTATAGTTTAGCGTTAAGCATATGCTTCCAGTAATCAAAGGTCCACTAATCAAATTAAAGTATATAATATACAAGCTGCTACCATACTACAGAACACTTCACATTACAAAATCATAATAATAAATTTAAAAAAAAACACGTTGAATCACTATAAAGTATGGCAAAATATGAAGACGCACTTAGGGTAAGATCCAGAAAAGCCTGAGCGCTAAGCCTGACTCTCTATGACAAGAATGAATTGCATTTTGACATCATAGTCAGTCTCACAAAAAGGTTCAAACATTTCAACACAAAAAAATTCGTGCGTACAAAGTACACATGTCAGAAGTGAAACTTTTTTGGCAAACTAATTTTAAACTCTTGTTCATATTTATACAAATCTACAACTTTAGATTTCCGAGACTTAGACGGAGGAAAAAGGAAGATATGTTAGGAATGTTAGGAATTTAATGAATTTAATTGTCATTAAAATATTTAAAATGTCGAAAATTAATACAACAAATACAAATATTTCTTCGATAATAAAAACACGTGGCATTTCAATTTACAATTCGTCATTTGAGATTTCAATAAATTATTTTGCATAATATAAAATACTAATATTTCATAAATTCTCTTTACGAAATTTTAATTTTAAAAATAGAAATTTATATATATAAGGTAATTCGACCTTCTCACTCTCTCTCAATCGGTTTCAATCACTCTCTCCCTTTTCCCTAAAACGCTGACGCTAATATTATTATTGCGTTTCATCCGTAAAAATTTTACCCTCATACGCCTAAAGAAGTTTCACTTCAAAAATCTATAAAGATCATTCAATACATTTAACTAACTAAAACCTAATACAACCCAACACAAGGTGTGTTGTGTGATGGTGTGAAAAAGAGAGTATGTACGTGAGGGTGTGTATGTTGTGTGTTATAATGAGAGCAAGTTTTAGCTAGATCACTTGTCATTTATGAAAAACCAAAAACATGTTTCACTGAGAGGTTAATAAGGTGTTAGTATACGAAAACTGTTTAACCATGTAACAACTTTTCAAAGTGCTATTTTCCACTGCGGTAGTAATATTTTATACTAACAATATTTTCCTCAACACAATATTAAAATGTTTAAATTATTATCTAATATTTGAGTTATACCGAGGTGAAACACGTTTTGAATCCCATTCTTATTTGAACAAAAATTCTGAATACAAAAACATGCACCATTTAAGGCACTTAGTTTTGTTGGCAAACAAAAACCGCAGCAACAAATAAGGCCCAAATCAAACAACTGACACGAATTCAAAGAATAAAAGATCTGACCTTTCTATAAGAGTATTCAGGTCAGCTGGAAGCCTAATTTCTGTCTGCCACTTATTGATTGAAAATAATGCAACTGCACTGCGCTGGTTATTTTTGTTATGTATCTCTTTATTTATTTATTTCGTAATCCTACAGCTAACAAAAATCATATATAATAACAAACAATTAATAAATAATAAATTAAAAAAAGGGTGCGCGTACTTATGTACGCGCGTAAGAAGTTATACTTCTTTGGCATTATTAAAAATAGTTTTTGATTGCATGCAAATAATTAATTACAATTAAATAATCAATGACTGGAAAAGGAGTCATTATAGTCAATAAAGTTCAGTTTACATTTGAAAAATTAAATAAGTAAATATTTATTATTATTCTCTTACATTAAGTGAAACATAAATTCTATTATTATTCGAATGTTGTTTTTAAATTATGTCCAATGCCGTAGCATCTACAGTGGGCAACTTCATTCTGTTAATTTTGTGTCACGGTGCACGCGCATCGTAAATTTCACTCTCATAAATTTTTCATAATGCGCCTAAAGAAGTATACATTTTATTTATGACAAAAGGGTTGTGACAGAATTTATATATCGCTAGTCCCCACACTAGGGAGGCCCTGTATTGTGAGTAACTAGAAAACAATTATTACATGGTACATGTTTGAAACAGTTAAAAAAAAATTTAGTGTTACAAATTAAGAATAAGTGAATGAGTGAGTGTGTGAATGGGTGTGTATGTGTGTATATATATATGTATTTGAGAGTGTAACTGAAAGTTGTTATGATACCAATATATGTAGTAATGCCTCTGTAGATTCGAAATCCAATTTGGCTAGTGTAATTTCTATTTTCTTACACTAAAATTATAGCCAGAGATGGGTGGAAAGAGAAATTTACAAAAGGACTACAAACAATAAAATTATTCAATCAAAACTAAGTGGTACCTAATTTGACCGTGTTGTGTGATAGTGTAAAAGTGAAAGTGTATGTGGGGTATGCTCATGATATATCTGCTTACTTAGGTAGATTTCTGTGCTATTGCTACAAATATCTAACTAGAAGAGTAAGAAATATCTAAGAAAGAGAAGAAGCGTTTTCAAAGTTCAAAAGAAGAATTAAAATTTTTCGTTACTTGCCATCCCTACCTCCCACGCTAGGGGAGCATCCAATAACTCTATTCAGAAACTTGGGATCAATTGTATATTCATAGAAGAGGTAGGTTACCCAGGAGTCTACGTACTACCGGTGTGGGCAACGCACCCAAAGGGTTGTGAATGTAAAACAAAAGACAGACGTGAGCGCAAGATTTGTTATCAACAATATGTCCAGCCCAACACGCGTTGCCTTATACGACATGAAAATTCGTATGTTTCACCAACCTGAATCGGTTGAAAACCAACCAACGGTTTCTTTCAGTCTTGCACCACGCTATCTGTTTTTCAATTTACGGTATTACGTTCTTTTACAAATTGTTAAATGGTTAAATAGAAAACAGTAACATTGTCGTGCCTTATTCATTCCTAAGGTTCAAATCAGAAGAATTTTCCAAATTCCGCCTGCAAAAAACCTAGGATTTCAGGCACCTCTTATTGGAACTCGCGAATATAACCGGAATATAATAATACTTATCCAGAGCTTGATAACTAAATAAATAAATACATTAATAGCGGTTTCGTTTCGTTTAGTAATTCCTTGTCCAACGAACTCTAACAATAAATATATTTCTAATGACTTAAATATTCTACTAATTTCACAAACTATTTATTAACAAAAAATACAAGATGGCTTTTAATTTCTCAATTAAAAGGGTTGATTAAAATAAGTTTTCCCAAGGAAATGTTCCAAGCAATATTTCACTCATAACTTTGACTTATATGTTTATTGAATAATGCCCGTTATCCCTCAGTAAATAGGAACGATTTTCCCAAGTTATGAAGCAAGTTTTGTACGCGTTAGTTACCGGTCCATTGGATCGCTCGCTTCATTAAATTAAAATTTATCTTATGAGATAAGCCTTTGAAAATCATTTGATTAGAACCAGACCTAGGTATATGTTATTGGGTGCACATACCTTTATGATACCGTTGGTAGTTAGACTTAATTAATGTTTACGAATTGTCAAACCCTTAAAAGGTCAAGGTAACGTTCGTGCACTATCATTGTAGATAAAGATACTAATAATACCAGTATGCCTTATGTGGTCACATTTTTTTATTAAAGTGTTTCTAAATTTATGATTTCTTATAGAACAAACGCAAAGCCAAAGAGTAGGACGCTCACCTCAAGTGATGCCCATTGACACACACTTGAAGGAATTCGAATTGGTTCGGAAATACTATAGTGGACAGCTGGTTTCACATAGTGGTTGCGCGCGGCAAAAAAAAATCTCAGTTGTGCTCAATATTATTTTCATACTATGCTTGCTTTAAAACCAATGTTCTTCGTAATAGAAATAATGGTTACGCACCCTATGGGCGCTCAGTCTTCTAGCATAAAATGCTCCGTAGTAACTTACCTGCGTATGTGAATAAAACATGGAGAAATTGGACACGATGACCGGCACTGGTAGAGCTATAGTGAGCACCCCTGCCAGGGCACAGAGGGCCCCAACAAACATCCCCAGATAGGTCTTCGGGGCCATGTCCCCATAGCCGACTGTTGTCATGGTAACGATCGCCCACCAGAGTCCCAGTGGGATCGATTTGAACTGATTGTCTGGGTTGTCCTGAAAAGTATTTAGGGGTTATTACTATTATTTTATGTCATATTAAATACATAGGTAAATTAGTGACCCCGGTTATCCCCGGCTTTGCACCAATGGAGTTTCTATGTGCGCATTTAACATTCGCTCGAATGGTGAAGGAAAACATCGTGAGGAAACCGGCTTGCCTTAGAACCAAAAGAGTAAGAAGTATGCTTCTTTAATCACACTACTTAAGTTTCTCATTGTACGTATGCACGTAGATAAATTTATCTATACGGACTATTAAGTAACTTGTTTAGCACAGAACAAGCCAATCATAATACAAGAATTTCCAAGATATAAAACCAAAGACAATCGCAAGTCACAGACTATAACGCAAAACCAATTGACAATGTTGCCATTCTAAATTTAAAAAAAGGGTGCGTGTACTTATGTACGCGCGTAAGAAGTTATACTTCTTTGGCATTATTAAAAATAGTTTTTGATTGCATGCAAATAATTAATTACAATTAAATAATCAAAGACTGGAAAAGGAGTCATTAAAGTCAATAAAGTTCAGTTTACATTTGAAAAATTAATTAAATAAATATTTATTATTATTCTCTTACATTAAACAAATAAAACACTATTTATCTTTAAAACATTTTTATTTCATTATACTATTTATTTTTAAGTGACTCTAATGTCTTCATCAGAATTTCGGTTTGTAATTTTAAATTAATCATTACTTGGTTGTGCATCTACGAGGCTTCTCCAAAACTACTTGCTTTCTGCAACAAATAAGAGAATATTAATTTAAGCTCTGTCCATGCAAAACTTAAAATTTTTTATAATTCATATTATAAATTTTTTAACACATTTATATTAATATAATTATATAAATGTGTTAATAATATAATTTGTAGCACATGCTACAGACCTGGATAGCAACTTTCTTTTATTCTATTTAGAGATAGAGATAATTTAAATATAATACCGGTGTCTTCCTTGTAGGTTTCTTTGGAGTTGTTTGGGGATTCTTGTTGTTCAGTTCGACATGATTTTCTTTAACCTTTGGATTATAATCCTACAAAATAATGAAATTGTTAAGTTATGTTGTCACTGTTGTGCACACCTTTGTCTGGATTTTCTAGTATTCAAGTTATGTCAAAACTGATTTATTACCTTGTCATTGTTGGCTTTATTTGCTTTTGGGATATCAATTGTTTCCAAAATGATTTTATTTGTAATAACCTGAAATATATAAATAAGATCTATTAATTTAAGTATCATGGTGAGTGGTTCGCACTCAGGTATTAAGGTGTATTATACCCACTGTCCATTATAAGTGGGAATGGGCTCACTTCTGGCAGGACAGAGTTTCGGTACTACAAGTGCAACATGGATGTTTTGAGGTATTACAATATCTCTAACTACCCTGTAGGGGAATAAAGTAATGTTGTAAGCATATGCCTATGCTTGAAAGGTTGAACCTTGAACATCACCATACATCATATTTATAATTAACATTCCTACCTCGACACCATCACAATCAAATTCATTGAAATCTACTTCAAACCGTTGCGGTATCATCTCTGCCATATCCATTGTGTCTCGAGAAGGTGATGGTGGCTTTGTTCCACCTCCAGTTTTTGATGTTTCACGGCGATAAGATGACAACTCTTTTTTTGTATTCAATTTAGTGCACTTCCACTGATTCATCAATTGTTTTTTGTCTCTTGTCCTTATATTTGCTAGATTAAATCTGATGTTTTGATTAAATAATGTGGTCATTTTTTTGAGATGCAGGTACTTATTAAAATGTTTACTTCTCTGTTATATCGCTCCAAGCCTTCATTTTCTCCTTATTAGTATTCGTGCTTAAATCTTTGTTCTCAATTATTGATATATAGGGTCGTAGAATATTTCTAAAAAGTTGCTGTAACAAACGCAATAAACAAAAGCAATGAATAATGGTTCATGTTTCAGTTTTAATCAACAATAATACTCGATAATACATACGGATAGTTAACCTCAATTGTATTGAAGCACTCAGGAAGGTTAGCACAGTTTTTTCACAAATATTTTATATTATTTCACAAATATTTTGTATAATGAAAATAACTAGGTATATAATTATTAATTTTAAACAATAATTAAAACTCCTATATTTGTTTAAAAGGTAAATGTCATTGTCAGATGTCAATTGTCATGGTCATTCAAAATTCTTGTTAAGCTGCTAAGCTAGAATATGCGTGAAGTTAGCTTCACGCATATTCTATTTCTTTTTACTTGTAGTTTGTCTTATTCCCATCTCGCTCGCGCACGCTATATCACACTGCCAATTTTGTGTCATAGGTGCGCGCGCAATCGTAAAATTTCACTCTCATCAATTTTTCATAACGCGCCTAAAGAAGTACAAATTTAAAAAGTAACATTAAATTCAATTAGATACTCTGTGTAATACTAAATAAACATACTGTGTGACTATGTTTATTTAAATGAAAATTAAGATTCGATTTTGTTTATTTGCTTCATCTCAAAGTCATTAACTAGTTAATTATAGAAGAGCCTTCACGTGCGTGTAGCGTCCTATTTTCTCTTTATCCCTTTGGCTCGGTATAATCTAATAGAAAAACCAGTGATACGTGCATATCTGACCTCAATACAACGTGTACGTGACGTCACACAACTCCTTAAATGCTCCTAAGGGTTCAATTTTGTATGTTTGAAATTGAAAAAAAAATATCCTGTATTTTATAAGAAGTCCTTAAATGTTGGTTGTAATAGTTATTGTGAATTCAAGACCGTACAGTAATTCCCCTATAACGCGGTATACTCGGACCGCGATATGGGAAATCACGTTTAGGGATTATTCTCGTAAAAACGTTTTTTTTATTCTGTCAATAACTAGGAACACGAATTTATTAAAGTTATTTAGTTTTATTTTATAACAACACAATTAAAACAGGTGCCACGCAAATTCATTATGAACTTGACAAATCATTATAAATTTCCAACAACAGAAATATTACTTGAGAAATCTACGCGTTTTAGGGGGAAATACCGCGTTATTTGGGGGACGGTTATCGCCTTATACGAAAGCGCGTTATAGTGGCACCGCTTTGTAGCGGGGATTGCTGTATTTACTTCACTACTTAGTAAATTTGAAAAGTAAGAAATGGTTAAGCATATTTAATATCCAAAAGGCTTTTTTTAGAAGTTTAGGTCCTGGTAAGACAAATTATACTAATCAAGTCTAAATAGAATAACAAATTGTCGTAATTTTTCTACAAAATGTCTTCGTTAGGCCAGCTTCTTTCGCATTTTAGTGTTTATTTTTACGTAATATACAAATTAAAAATATCTACCAAAAAGATCTTATGAAAATTCAGTTTTTTTACTTTCTCTAGCCATTAAAAAGAATTCCATCCGTTTTTAAGGTCTTCTTTTATCATACGACCAACGGCAAGGTTAGTTTAAAGTGTTTTTTTTATATAGTGTATATATAATATTACTGAATTAAAAAAAGTTGTGAATAATCAGAAACTTTAATCCCTAGTTTAATTATCCTCCTTTATCAATACAATGTATAATTATGAGAAAAAACATCTTCAAACCTGATTTAATTACAAAACCTGTTGAAAATGACTCCAGGGTTACAATGGAGTTGGTATGTTTTATAATTAACTTTAGGTACAGATCTGGGTCACCTAATAATAACTATCTATGTAAGCTTGTATTATTCAAATACTGCCATATTGCCAGTTTTAAACTAACGCCAAATCCCACTCATTATAATAACAATTTATATTCATAAACTTAAAATTTAGTTACAAAATGTTGTTGCACACGCATAAACAATGTTAGTTAGACGTAATAGGGGTTATAATTCTATAAACGACCTAGATGATCAAAGATATTGTATCGCGATAATCTCTCTTTTGGGATTAGGATGCTATGAACGCATGAAAACAAGGGTTATTTGAGAAAATAAAAATATATCTACTGCATGCCAATTATTGGTACAAGATGCGCCATAAATAATTTGATTTGATTAAACTCGCAATGGAAAGTGTGACACATGCGACTATTTTATTGTTTTTTTATAGATTAAGTTATCAGTGATGCCTGACTGTCGATTTCAAGCTTCGCCAGCTTTCTCTTGACAGTTTACTTTGCCGGAAAAGCTAAAAACATAACACATAAAAAAAGCTCGGGCTTCTAACTCAAGAAGCATGCTCAAACACAAAGTTATCAGTGGCACACAATTAAAAGTATATTAAGTAATAAATCAATAATAACAACAGACTTTATCGGCAAACAAAAATGGTTTTATAAAACTGACCTGACCCAGCAAACGTTTGTTTTGCCATGTATATTATTTCTAGGAAACATTTTTTTAGTTCAATAAAAATAGCTATCTACAATAATGAAAATTAGGGGTTGATCGTAGAGGGGTGAAAATTAAGGGTTATATGTATTTTTGTATGCTGTATCATAAAAAAATAAAAACAAAAACAAAATTCTAAAGAATAAAATTATTTTTTTTGGGGTGGACACCCCTTTACACTTAGGGGGTTGAAAAATAGATAGTAGCCGATTCTTAAACCTACTCAATATGCATATAAAATTTGATAAAAATCGGTCAAGCCGTTTCGGAGGAGTATGGTAACTAACATTCTGACACGGGAATTTTATACATTACTAGTGGACCCCACAGACGTTGTCCTGCATGATATTTAAAGCGATTAGGATATTAAGCAAAGTATGAAAGTACCGACTGCAGTGCCATCTGCCGGGCTGATTTGTGAATCTAAACCATTCCCAGATCCCCTTGAACACACACAAAAAATTTCATCAAAATCGGTCCAGTCGTTTGAGAGAAGTTCAGTGACATACTCACTCACAGAAGAATTATATATATATATATATATTATATGATATATAAGATTATCCCAGGCTCCAATTATTAACTGTATTTTTCATTTCATTCCCAGTTACATTAAAATGGGTGTGGCTGTGTCATGGACACGGCCGCGTGTTATACGTTAATACGTTTATGTAAAGCTAATGATCAACACTTATTACTAATTGCAAATCTCGATGCGCAGCAAATTAACCTCAAAATGTATTCTGTATTCCCGCTTGTAAGATTTTGTAAAGCAACATGACAGTTGACAGTGATTTGCGATCCTAATTAGAAGAGTGTCAAAGGCGCTTGAGTGTTCGTAAATCAGATTCATATGGAACTAGGCAATTTTGGCTTTATATGACTTGGGACTTTGTGATATGCTTGTTTAATTTCGTTAAGAAATAGGCACAGGTGCTGGAATACCTAACTTAATTCGTTATAACCTGATTATTTAATAAATTTATCTAAAAAGTACTAAATAGATGTTTTAGCTTATTAAAATTATCTACGCCCTTGATTTGAGAACTGGCAGTAAATGTAAAATTAGAAGCATTTAATGTATATTTCTTTTTGACGTTCAAAAGTGTTTATGTATTACCTGCATGAATAAATGATATTTGACTTGACTTTGATTTAAAAAGGTACAGGCTTTATTTCGCAATTTTCAAGCTTTGAGCTTGTATAATATAATATAATCTTTTAAAGTATCGTTCCTAACAAACATTCATCCAAATTTATTATTAATAGTCGCAATTATAAAGATTTAAGGATTTAAAGCTAATAGGCCAATTTAATCTGTCGTCAAGAAAAATTACATGGCATTAGTATAAAACTAGCAGGTGTGCCGAAGAGCCTTTATTTCGTTTCTTGGATTGATAGTAATATCTCATATATTCAATATTTATTTTCCGGCGTGAAATGATGCAATTATCGCCTTATTGTAATCGCGTTTCGTGCGGTGAGAAATACCCTCCCCAAAAAATATGAAGGTGCAGAACAAACAGAAACTACCCCAGGGGTGTACCACACGCGCTCGCTGTGAGATTCCCCCCTGGACGTCCTCCGCCGGGACGCTCAGCGCCCGGTGGTGGTCGCACAGCCCTTCGTATTCTTCAATTCTGCGCTACTACTTAATTACTACTTAGGGTCCTTCAAGAAAAGAGGGGGCCAATTCTTAAAAGGCCGGCAACGCACTTGCGAGCCTTCTGGCAATATGTGTGTCCATGGGCGGCGGTATCATATAACATCAGGTGAGCCTCCTGCCCGTTTGCCACCTATTACATAAATAAAATGATATCACAAAATATTTGTTAACGAAACCCTTTTTACTGGTACAATAAATGTATACAAATAAAGCAAATTTATTATAAATAATACTAAATTTATATTAAAGGCTTAGTTAGATCTGCTAGTAATTGGCTGAGGAGCCATGGCTATATATAAAAAATAACCTAAAGCACATCGCTAACACGAAAGTTTAAGGAAACTAATCACAGTATAAAGTTTAGTATATTGTGCTAAGATTCATTACTTAAATTGTTATATAATGTTTTGCCAACTAATTTAATCAAAACATTTGTGGGTAAGTACATAATATACCACGGGTTTTCCTAGTTAAAGTACCTGCTGCAAACATAATGGCGTAGCATGACAGATATAAATATATTGTATATATATTATATTGTTTATTAACTTTATTAGAATAAGCTGCCCCGCGAACTATTTTCGCCATTATATGTTTTTTTTACTAAGCCTTCCTTTTTGTACCTACATACCAATATATGGAACATTTTGCTGTGCATAAAAAACGTAAGTCTAAATATAACTAAATTTTTCATTTATTTATTTTTTTCCATAAACACCCTCAAAGTTCAAGGAATATATAAAAAAAATATTCGAATTTGTCCAGCAGTTTTCGAGTTGTGCGGTTAACAACATATTTTGCGATTTATTTTTATAAAAAACGTACTATTCAGTAATCATACTTAAACTTTCGCTTCCCGGATCATATTTATTCAACAAACACATTCAACTACAATACAAAATGTGTATATATACTTACTTGTGACTTCTCAGCATAATAAACCAAGCTGGCGAATATCACGATTCCTAACACAAGGAAAAACACAAGAAGTGTCAATTCTTTCGCAGACGCCTTGAATGTATGCACCAATATCTTCAAACCCGGGCTGTGCCTCGTCAGTTTGAACAAACGCAATATTTTCACGATCGATATAAATTCTAATATATCTGATTTGTCTATTTTTCGTCTCACTACGGCCAATTCCACTACAACGTCCAAATAGAAACTTAGTGTGGCAATGAAGTCTATTATATTCACTGGGGATTTCACGAAATCGATTATGTTTGGAGCTACCTGAAACAAAAGAGAGATGTATTATATATTTATAACATATAGAAATTTCAAATATATGAACATAACAATACAGTTGCTACTTCTAAATCATCTAAAAACACACTTTCTTAGAAAAGTTGTAAGTAAGTAGTAACCCTTGCAAAGCTTCGTTTTGAAAACATACAATACTAATCTTGAAGTGATACTTTATTCAAAGTGTTTGTTTGCATATTAAAAAAACGTGTGACACTCGGGTACTGCCGCGGTAAAGCTATTGCAGTTTTTTTTTTCTATATGGTTTTATGTAAATTTATTGAAATATAACGATGTTGTAGAATAGGTCCAAAAAAATCTTGCCAAAATACATTACATCTACACGGGCAAAGCTTCCTCCTGACGGATAAATAAATCAGACATATCGCATAACAATTTTAAAAATATTCACATCACTTTTATTGATCATTTTTCTTTATAAACGAGCGACATTTCCTTACGATGTTTTCCTTCACCGAGCGAGTGGGAAATGGGAAAGTAGTTGTCCCAGTCGCGATTTTTTCAAAGAGATCGTCCAAATTAAAAAAACGTGTGGCACTCGGGGACTGCCGCGGTAAAGCTATTGCATATGTTTTTTTTCAACTTATGCAATTACAATTATTTATTGAAGCAGTATTTTTTTTCTTTGATATGAATTCAAGTTTTTTCTTTCATAAATTAATTCAATCTACCACTTTACCAGACTCAGACTAACTCGTCTATATAGTCTGTCTCACTCTAACGCGCACCGGCTGCACCGATCTCGTCAGAGATATGTGAATACGCAGAATGCGTTCTGTCCCGCTCTAACGCGTAAGGTTTTTTTCGTTACGGAATTTATGGATTCGGTCTCCACGCTCGAGGCCCGCGATAGAAGCTATGCAATAGCTTAAAAACAAGTTATTAACGCTGACAATGTAACAAAAGAGTACAGAGCAAAAAAACTATGTTTCTAATAATAGTTATCCGGGGCGTACATAATCACCGTTTGTAGCATAGTAAACGCTAATTACAAGCCCCTAAAATTTGAAAAAGGTCTTTACAAACAATAAATATACTTCAACAAAATATCCAATTCCCTAGTTACCGTAACAGACAAGGAATTCTACAATAAATGGTAGTAATAAAAGCGTTATCAGAAATTCAATATGCTGGAACAAATTGTAGTGAAACATGTTCAATGGTGCAATTCTTGCTATTCGATAAAATATAAAATGATATTATATACTTGATATATACCCAAATACAGTACTATTTTATTTATTTCTTAAAATTTAATCTAAATAAATGTTTAATATATAAATTTTAAGTTAGGTGGGCTGAAAAGTTCGAAAATGATAGAAAAATTATTTCTTTGATCTAATTTCATTTCATTATCAAATATAGCGGTCATATAATTTTTCGAAAGCATTTTTAGAGTATGATTTGACAGACAGGCGGACAGACTTACACAAAATAACAATAATCAAAGAAAAAAAATTAAATAAAAAATATAATGAGAGATAAAAAAAATGTTTTCTCTTTTCCCATTCGGTTCGTTTCAAGTGTGTAATGCGTGTGTGCTGTGGTTGTAATTGGCCCTGGCTTAGCATTATGCCGAGGAGCAGAATGTTCCACAGCGCTGGTCATTCTGCCAGAGACCACAGCATCTAGTTTGCGCCTCAGTTGCAAAAAATGAAAGAAAATAAATGTAAGAATACTTAGTAGAAAAAAAATTAGTTAAAGTTAGCAGTGTAAGTAATGAAGTTATTTATTTGTCTTTAGCCTCAAAACCGGCTTCTGTTTCGGTGATTACCTCTCCAGCGCAAAATTTCTGTCCAGCGAGCATTCTTTTGAGGTCTAAGATTAGGCACAAGTCGCTGAAATTTCCCATGCAGCAGTACTGCATTCATTCATAACGTTGGTTGGGTTCAGATTTCATTTGTTTTTGTGTTTTTTTTTTTTTGAAAAAAAGGTTATAAGTGCCTGACACATTTCAAGATTACCCTTATGTTATTGCTAACGTGTTCATTGCGCACTATAAATAATCCCTTGGTGCACTGCGTTAAAAAGTGTATTGAAAAATATATTTTTTCACAAAGGCTTTTAAACTAAACTGCCTTAATGGCCATTATCAAGAAATATCACAGAGTGAATCAAATTTAAACTCCACTGATAAATAGCAGTCAATAGCTATTGAATATAACTGCTTATTCACAGTTATTTCCAAAGTGAATTTATACGATTCATTGAGTCCTTATTGCTCTGGCGTCGATCCAGAGTCAAGTTTTGTTTCTTATAGAAAAGTATTATTGCAGATTTCGTAAAATACAAAACTAAACATTTTCAATTTAGCGTTATTTAAAGTTTCTCGCGATTCTGGTAGAGATGAGTTGGAGTTGAGAGCTTTGAATAACACTTCAAGGAATAAAAAATAATCCAGAGGCGTTCCTCGTTAATAATTTATCTTTTTAGACTAGATCGTGTTCCTATACGTCGATTTTTGGTTGGCTTCAATCGACCAGTATTGGTTGTGCTACAGACTATAATTTGTTAAATCAAACTTATAGGTAAAATTCACTTAGAACTCAAGATTGAGCTCGTGAAATAAATGCTGTCAATGTTTTGCGCTTATTAGCGAGTATTATTTTTATTTAAGATAATTTTCCGTTGTGATACTCGTAAATAAAAAACAATAGATAATATTGTGAGTCAATATTCACTTGGCTGGCCATGCGTCATACTCGTGAACGGGTACTACTTGTGGTGACTGGTCGTACTTGAATTCGTGTATGCGGTGATGTTAGTTATTTCGACTATGTATTTGCGTGTTGTTCCCACGAGAATGTAAGTGCGTGCTCCTATTTCACCATGCCTCCTGCTGATAGAGGACAAATCTTTGTTTTTAATTTATTTTATTATTATTTATTACTTAAGATGTCATGTGGATCATGTTACCAATATGAATAAATGATTTTTGACCTTTGACACATCACTGCCTTGATCATAATATGCCCCGTTCTATAAGAAAAATCGTTCCATTTTTAAACTGGAATATCAATATAAATTCTATCCTTTTGATTTTGCTCTTTGAAGGCTTTCAAGGTACGTTTTTCAAGTCCCTAAAAGGAAAGTACTAAAGCCTGAGATAACGAGGGTGTGATTAGGTTACCGACGTAAAGGCACTTCAGACCGAAAACGTTTATTTGCATACAAATGAGATTGCTATTGTAATGACTAAATAGACAAATTGCTTTGATAGTGATTTCGTTTGCAATTTAAAATATTGAGTAAGGTCTTTGGTTTTATAGCTATAATTAGAAACTGGTTAATAAACTTTGATTTTTGTAATATTTTAGTATCTGTGTCGTATGCCGACAGCGAATTAAATCTTTTTTTGGCCATACAACGCACAGAGGCGTTGAGAACTTGGAGAAACTGATTGCGGTTGGTAACAGAAGGCAAAAGATCACGTGGCCGTTCTCCAACCAGATGGACCGATCAAGTGAAAGACTCATCGTCCTCAAAACTATACACTGTAAGAGAGGCGCTGGTGAGAAACCGGTGGAAACAGCTCCGCTCCAGATGTTTCGTTGCTAACAACGACGCTCAGCCATCAAGAGAGAGAGAGAGAGTATCTGTGTCAACTGTGTGACAAATATATGTTTTATTAAATTCATAAATATCTTTTTTTATAAACCAATATTTATTATTCTTGGAAATTTTATTACAAAATATTCGGACACTATTTAAACTAAAATTTAATTTGTGTTTTATAAAACTTGCATGTGACAAAACCTTTGATTATATATACATTATACATAGATGGTGATTCTCTTTAAAAACAGCTGAAGGTCGCGGCGTTTAAACGCTTTAGTACGTAGCCCTAACGATAACACATGCGTAACATTACCACGTAAGGCTGTGTAAATTTGACGGAAGTAATACGAATAAATAAATTAATTGCGACCCAAGGCGTCGTGAATCCATTTGAATATAACAACGAATAAAAATTATACTTAAATAAATTGAGTTTTATATGAGCAGTGATGTCTTAAGCTTGCAAATCTCAACTCTGAGATCGTGCATTAAAATCACGGCTGTGAACATTGAAACGCACTGTTCACCTACTTGTCAATAAAAATAAAAATCATTAAAGAAATGAATCAAAAGTCAAAATAGTCGAAATTATATAGGTAACACAATGTACACTTATGAACGTCAACCAAGATAGGTTACAATAAATTGGAATAATTTAGTACCTTAATGTACTAATGTAATATATAGAGAAAAATATCATCATCGTTGTATTTAAACATTGTTTAGTAAAAAAGTAAAAAATCATTTAATCACATAGGTAACATAATGTACACTTATGACTTGTCAGGAAAGAAATACATATTAATGCTTCTAATTTTATATTTACAGCCAGTTCTCAATTCATGGGCGTAGAACGGGAGAGAAGAACTGGCAATAAACTCTCCGCCACTCTTTTTAATCGCCATTTGTTTAATAAAATGTTTGTAAGTAGCTGCAACCATTACACCATGTCCCATGTGACATTCTAAGTAATTAATAATAATAACATAAATTAAAAACAAAGATTTGTCCTTTATCAGCAGAAGGCATGGTGAAATAGGAGCACGCACTTACATTCTCGTGGGAACAACACGCAAACACAGTCGAAATAACCAACTAAAATCACCGCATACACGAATTCAAGTACGACCAGTCACCACAAGAAGCCGTTCACGAGCATGACGCATGGCCAGCCATCGGCCCCCTCGCCATATTTTAGGGAGAGAGACAACCCGACGCATGGACGCCGCAACAAGCAATGACATTTAAGCGAGCATGACGATCATTGAAATGTGAACTTGGCTACATAAGAAAATAATAATATTAATACTACTTAGTACCAATTATATTCAATATAACCCTTATACACTAAGTCCTCGTCGTATTTAGTTGGTCCTTTATGACACTATCCAGGTTGAACCGTAATATATTTATTAATATGTTGTGTACATAGTTATAAAGTTCCACCTTCAAGCCTAAGTACTTACGCGAAACAGGCCCTTCTGAAATCTCTTTGAGTTCAACAAAGGGAGTGCCGTGAAGCGAATCTATCGAATTTCACAGTCGCCTGCTGCAACGCTCTTAACAGATTTATATACTGCAAGATTAGATTAAGTTCAAATAAAGAATTTATTTGAATTTAGAATATGCTTTGATGAGTTTTTTTAGATTTGAGTGGTGTGGGTTGGATACGTTTTTGATAATAGTTTTACGAAGCCATCACACCACTTAAATTTTATCAAACCAGGTATGAATGAACTAGCTAAACAGATTATTATGGTGAACATTAGAATGTCCCAAGTTTTTGGTCTCAATACGAGATCAAAATTTTAAATTTTGTTTTAATAATTTAAAATTCTATTTGTTCATTTT